GCCTCATTGCTAACAGCTACAAACCAAAGAATACAGCAGCAACGTTTGGTTTTGATGAGAAAAAAGAGGAAATCTCAACGAATGTGTGTTTCTGAGAAAGTTTGTCAAAATAAAAACACTTAAAGGTTTTAGGTGAATTTGTAAGATGTTGAACCAAACAGTCCAAGTTCTGAGAAAAATAATTCAGACACCCTAATCCTCATTTGTAGCATTTGGATCGCTAACATGGATCATTTTTGGTGGCACTAGACCAGGGCTTAATTTGAGCTGGATCCTGATGGAACAGGATCCAGCAGCTCTCTTATTTTGATGGGGTGCGTTCTGATTATTGTTTGCTTGGATCCAGTAACTCTCAGGCTTACTAATAATAAAGTTATGAACAAATTTGACTGCCTTGAATGAATAAAACATATATTGGAAATGTAAACTGAAAATGATTACATAAACACTAATTTTAAACATAACAACCACTTACAACCTTTCTAATATCACATAAGAGCCCCTTCAAATAAGCCTTTCCGCTTCTACCCTTGAAAAAAATCTCTGCCACTAAAAGTGCAGTCATGGGTAAATTAATTAAAAATGAAAAAATATAATTAAACAGCACAACAAAATTGCAAATCAGTTTACAGTTTAAGCGAGTCAATGATAACATTTTTATTATTCATTAAAAATATGAGAAAAATGTTTGATGGGTGATCACATACATTACATACATCACATATAGAATACCTCAGTTTTAGAATTGCGCCGCTCAAGGTGTCTGCATGTTGGAGCAGCTCTGTTACTTTCATTCTGAGATTTTGCTTTTGTAAACTTTAATTACTATTTTTCTGGATGTAAATCACATTTTTTGGGGGGATGATTGTTTCCTCTGGCATCGGATGTTGTTCAGCTGGAAGGAATTTTACTGAAACTTTTTTTTTTTGTTTTGGACATTTGTTATGATGCGTAACCATGGCAACAAGGCAGTTTTCTACAACCAACAGCAGCTGATTAACATCTCAAAAGCTCAAATAATATCTCAACTACAGCCCCAAATCTCAGATGAGTTGAAAAGGATGTTCTGTGGATGCATTCTCATCTACCTGCCAGCTGTGCTCGAGTGCCTGACCACTGAGATCCTGGAACTAGCAGAAAACACGGCTCATGACAGTGGAAGGACAGGATCATCCCTCGGCACCTACAGTTGGCTGTTCGCATCGAAGAGGAGCTCAGCAGGCTGCTGGGAGGAGTGGCCATTGCTCTGGAAGGAGTTCTGCCTGGCATTCGGGCGGTCCTACAGCCCGGGGGAACCGAGAGGCCAGCCGAGTCTGGGTGGACAGATCGGATGGTATCTGCAGCCAGTTTCTTAGGATCCACTGTGGGATGGACCTTAACAAGAGATCCTTCCTGTCTACAGCCATCAGGATCTAAAACATCTCTTAATGAAAATGAGGACAACGAGTTACAGCAACAAATAATTTCCCTTTGGGATTAATAAAGTACATTTGAATTTGAATTTTGAATTTGAATTGAATATCAAAACAACGGAGCCAATTTGCCAAAAATAACAGAGGTCAAAAAGTCAGAAATAGGTACAGTCCAATTTATTTTTGTTTAAACAAAAGTATTCTCATTATACAACTAAACTAACGAGAATTGAAGCACATGAAGGCAGTGGTAATGGAGATAGTACTGGAGCAGATGCGAGTGATGTCGATGAGTGATGAGCTAACCAGGCTATTGTACCCGGGCAGGAGCCCACAGCCAGATGACATGAACAGCCTGAGGAGGAGCCTGGGGGTTTCACATGTGGAGGAGGACAACAACGAGGAGGACAGTCAATTCAGTGGAGAAGAGTCGGGATTGGAACCTTGAAGTGAGGGATGTCCATCAATCCGGACAGATGCCCAGTTCAATGCAAAACAGACGTACTATCCACGGCTTGTAATGAAAAAATCAGGTGGTGGTTAGGATGCTTGAGAGAAGCGGAGCGTGCTCTATTCACACAAGGAGAGCTGTTGGTCAGGCTACTTCTTAAAATAGTTACTGAATCAGGTGTAGGTAAATGTAGATGTTTAACGAACTGTTAAAATACACCAGAATCCAGGAAGGGAAGTCTAAGATTGCCATCATTTAATGTTTCCATGCAATGATGAAATTAGTTCTCTGCATTTAACCCATCGCACCTGAGATACACTCAGGTGGAGCAGTGCACAGCTATGTAAGTTCCCGGGCGTTAGCTGTCTTGCTCAGAGAAACCATGACATGTGGAAATGGCAGCTCCTAAAAAAAAGAACGAAAATAATAATAATCCTAGCTCTGAATTTAATCACAGCAATGATTATTAAAATGAGTTCATGTTTGTTTTGGTGATGCAACAACATTACATGCACATGTGGTCAGTGGACATTTCATGTGTGGCTGAGAGTCATTCACAGCACAAGAACTCAACTGTTTTTTTTTATTTTTTTATTGTTTTTATCCTTCTAAATATCATTTTATAAATTAACATAATAAAAAACGTGGAGTGAGGAAGTGAAATCAGGTGAATAAATGGGAGAGAGAAAATGTGTGTTGCCCCGCGGGTTTCAGTCAGAATGGACGATTCATGATTCAACATCAGAGCCTCGTTGAATAAATCTCCCCTTCAGCATGACCGGCAGCAGAAAATGCTCACCAACAAGCGTGCATTACAGTTTCTCACTGGTTGTGCATGCAAATACACGTGCGTTCCCACAGAAGTAATGTGCTGTGCATGTGTACTTGAGTGACGGATGTCCACGTTTCCACAGTCCAGCCTCACAGGCCTGTGCTGCTCAACATGTTTATTATCTTCAGATGTAATGAGTCATAAAATAATGACAACGTTCATTTGGAGACATAGCAGGTTAACTTTTCAGCAGGTAGTGATGTAAAATAAAATACCCCCCCCCCCCCCCCCCCCCCCACCACCACCACCACCACCACTATCACATCCTGCAATAAGCTGTTTTTGGCCATTAAACTAATGTAGCAGTCACGGAGTCTGACTGCCCTCTAAAATGGAAATTCAAAAGCCAGACTGGCACAGTGGGAATATCAAGACATGGCATATCCTCTGCTCCTTTCATCCTCACACTTTGCCCTGTCTCCCATCTCCTCCACATTCCACCCATGCATCCCTACTCCATAGTTTTTCAAATCAGATGCACATCTGCTGTGGAAATCATTCTGAAGGGCGATTCTTCCTGCTGACTGAGACGGATGGACGGAGGGGCTGCGGCCTTCATCGAGACCTCAGACAGCTTTATTCATGTACAAAAGCTGTCAACTCAGTTGAACGTTTCAAGTTAGCATCACCTCTGGCAGAATCCCATTTCCAGGTGTTGCTCCCACCCCATAAATGTTGAGTGATTTCTTGCTTGTGACTGCTGCTCAACCCTTAAGGGTTGAAATATTTCTGTACATTCATTTTCATCAACTTACTGTATCTATGGTTTGCAAAGGCAACAGGTCCAGGAGGATCCCTGTTCACAAAGACACTGTCCTGCTCCTCCAGGGAGAACAGAGAGGATACATAATCCCTCCAGCAACTTTGGTGTCTTCAATGGGGACTCCTTTTTCTTATACATTTTATTGTTGGATGTAACTGGGACCCTGTGTACATAATTTTGCTCCACCACATGTACCACATGAGGTGTGAATGACAATAAAGAATCTCTGACTCTGACTCTCCCAGTGGGTCCAGAGAACCTCAGAGAGAAGTGCCCATGGTTGCCTAATTTAATGCCTGATCCATGTTTAGTGTCGAGCAACAGAGGTTCAACTATCTCTAAGGCTGAGACCAGCCACCCTACAAGAGGCTGACAACTGAAAGGTATGCCACCTTGGCATATTTACTGTCTAATCTACCAGAGTACATTTTTCAAATGAAGCTATTATGATTTAATATTGATGTGGTTTTTAAACCTGGACACAAAACAACTTACAATACTAAGAGGCAGCGGTAAATAGTGAAATGGGATTACAGTGTACCTAAAAGCTTGCTGGTATAAATATTCGCACACCATTAATTTGAACGTGACCATAGACAGCAAGGCTGCCTGAGCAGTGCGGTTTAAGTTTGGTTAATAAAGGCTTCATCATCAATTTATGGATGAAACCCGAACAAGCTGCAGGAAAAACACTCAGACATGAGTCCTGATGCAGGCTGAATAATCCATGTGGATAAATATAACTGGGTTTTCTGGACAAATTATTATTTGTTGAAATGTTTTGTCTTTTATCCATTTTTTTTTTTTTGGCAGTCTGAGAATCTGCAACAAACTAATTCTTATAAACTCTGCAGTCTACACTCATCTGCAGGTCAGAGGTCACTCTTTCAGAGATGAAGATGTTCACAGCCTTGATAGAGAGGAACAATGGTTTGAGAGAGGAGTAAAGGAGGCCATCTTTGTGAAGAGAAGCTGTCCATCATTAAACAGGGGCAGAGACCTCCGTGTTCAACTGTCCCCCTCTTACAAAGATGTTATTGCTAGTATCACTCAGCCCTCTGTGAATAGCAAACAGCCATCAGGGCACTAACGATCAGACGTTAGGCTGATGGTCCTCCTTTAACACGTGAACAGCTATGGCTGTCACCAGCAAACTGGTTGATCAGTTGATAAGGATGAGTTTGTTGCAGCTCCTCAGACTGAAGGTATTTTGGGTAAAATACGAAACATTTCAACCAGAAGAATCCGCCCAGAGGACCTGACTCCATCTTGTTAGACTCCGACATGAGGGTGAAAGGAACTAAATGACCCTTGGTGATCAGTCAGGCTCCTTGTCAACTATTTTTACACAATTTATGAGCTTCTGAAATCATATGATATTGTAACAAGACTTTATTAAATATGTATCTTTTTAAAACAACAGACTGATCAATAATCAGCGATTTGAAAATAACGTTCAGTAACTGGGCAAGAATGCAGCGTTATAGAAGTGTAAAAAAATCATTCATTATCTAAAACATTCACAAAAAGACTGGTTTTTACCCAATATGGCCCAATTGGGATGAGCTCTCCTGTTTCTACTGGGATCCTGAAGTTCTGTGGAGGAGGGGGCCCCTCTGCCCAGAATAGCCTCTCTGCTCTGGGAACCCCTGTCCTCAGCAGCCCCCCTGCCTGGAGCCGAGGTGGCGGAGCTGCTCCACGACTGCCCACCCTCTGCAAAAGACGTGCTTCATTCAGGACCACCAACCAACATCCATCAGGACTTATCGGGGTTGACAAGGATCACAGGGAGGTCAAGACTCCAAGAGATAAAAAGGGAAACGGGTCAAAGGGGGAAACGCCACACAGGAACTGGAAGTAGGGATTCAGATCAGTGGTTTGGAAAAGGAATGTCACATTCTGGGGTCGGCTGGTTAGGAAAGTAGAGGCGACAGAGGCACAAGGAGCATAAAGGATTTTAGGTTTTACCAAAAGTAAGAAACCTGAGACAGCTGAGTGAGACGAACTTCAGCCTGGGACATCACTGAGGGAGGGGGGCTCTTCTATGCAGCAGACATAATGAGGAGACACTCGACACTGCTTATTGAAGGATATCACTGCTGATCCATACCTGCCAGGCAAAACACTCCACAACCAACACTTTTTCAAATTAGGAGCCATTCCGCAACTACGAAACAATTTAGGCGTCATTTACCTAAATTACCAGTTGACAAACTGCACAGTCGGTGCGGTGATAGATTCCTGCTTAGCCACAAACGTGTGAAGAGAGAGAACACAAAAGCAAATCGATTGAGCAGTCATGCTAGGCTTGCCTGAAACCAGACCAAGAATAGAAGCATCTGAAGCTGCCTGGTAAATTGGGTGCATGTGGTTGTAGATTTCTAGTTACAGCGATGGTTGTGGATGAAACAAATGCAAATTTATGTATCAATGCCCTCATTTAACATCTCCGAGAGCAAAGACTGGCACAGAACATGAACCGGCTGCCTCTGCTTGTGCAAGTGCATGTGTGCGTGTGTGAGTACGTGCACACATATCTGCACATAGTGCACATAGTGCACACAAATCTCTTAGTTGTGTGTGCCCGTTTAAGGTCTTGTTTGCGTTTCAGGGATGCTGCTGCTCTGTGATCAAAAGGAGAGGCACAAAAGGAAGAGGAGAGAGAGAAGACAGGGACTGAAGCTATAATTCTAAAAAGAAATCCATTTGTTAGTTAGAGGCTGCTTTCATCAGAGCCACCGCTGGCCAGTGGTGGGACGGAACTAAGTACAAGTACTTCTTTACTGTACTTAAGTACATTTTCCATGTATCTGTACTTTACTTAAGTAGAGTTAAGCGTGGGTACTTTCGACTTTTACTCCACTACATTATACATTAAGTATATGTACTTGCAACTACACTACATTTCTATAATGTGTTGAGTTACATGTTACACTCATGTTGCAGTTTTTTGATTTGTTCATCAGTTTGAAAGTAACCAATGGTGAGAGGGGAGTTGGTCCATTGGATCACTGTAAAGTGGTCAGGTAACATTAGACCCACCTTGAAGAAGAGCTGGGTGCACCCACAGCACTGCTAACACACCCAAAATGGATTCCACTGTGGAGATTCAGCTAGAATATATGTGCCACTCATGGCCATATTGAAAGACTATTGAAATATTATTGAAATATTATTGAAAGATTATTGAAAGACTATTGAAAGATTATTGAAAGACTATTGAAATACTTTTGAAAGATTATTGAAAGACTATTGAAAGATTATTGAAAGATTATTGAAATACTATTGAAAGACTATTGAAAGATTATTGAAAGATTATTGAAATACTATTGAAAGACTTTTGAAAGACTATTGAAAGACTATTGAAAGATTATTGAAAGAGTATTGAAAGATTATTGAAAGACTATTGAAAGACTTTTGAAAGATTATTGAAAGACTATTGAAAGATTATTGAAAGACTATTGAAAGATTATTGAAAGACTGTTCAGTACAGCAGGACAGATTTTATCTCCCAAAAGAGCCAGACTGGACTCAAAAAACTTTGAAAACCAACTTCTTCTGAACTTGAACAAGAAATTCTTGCTGCAATATTAAAATGTGTCAGATCATGGGATGTTAGGACAGGAGACAAGAGATGTCTCCAAATGTCTAGAAACTCGGGTCCAAGTTTTGAAAATGGTGTCAGGAAATTAAAATATTGTTCACTATTGACCCATTACAAGGTTGACTAGACAGTATTTTAACTAGAGCTGATGAAAAACTGGAGTTGAAATGGTCAGAGCCTGTTCATTTGTTAGGTCTAATGCTCCTTTTTTCAGGCAGACAACTTTTACTTAAATGTGTTTACTGCAGTTAAAAGGACACATTGGTTTTGCTTTGTGTTAAATAAAAACTTTCAAAGATATAATCATTCCTCTTTCTTATTTTGCTTAATGGTATTAACTCTGTGGTATGTAACTTTTCAGGTCTCTCTTGTAAATAAGTCCTCGAGGCTCAATGGGATTAACCTGTCTAAATAAAGGTTGAATGAAAAAAAAAAAAAAAAATCTGCATGTCATCCCTGAAATTCTGACACAGAATCACAAGTGCAGGTGTGAACTGTGTCACAGAGTAAACACAATAAAAACGTGCATTATTTGCAGCATTGTTCATTAAAATGGCTCAACACTATTAATGTATTACATAAAATATACATACAGTAGGCACACTTAATGATATTGTAGACCATTGCATTAGGTAATACATTCAGCAAGTACTTTTACTTTTAATACTTTTGCAGGAGAACACCACCTCAGAAACAGTTCACCTCATCTCAAACAAACATGATTCATGTATGGTATGGTATGGTATAAAGTTTATTCATCTAAAAAAAAAAAAAAACAATTCCATAAAGTATAGATAAAAAAAAATACAAGAGATTTAAAATGAAAGGCAGCAGAAAGAAGAAAAAAAATCTTATTATATCTGCCCCTTTTTTCAACAATTATTTCAATCATAATAATTTTCAAGTAACAGAACAAAATGAATAACTCTTTCTAATTTTTCTAATTCTAATACAAAAACACACACTAAGCTACTTCATATATATTTTTTTTATAACAATTCAGATTTGATCTTTTTCTTAAATGTACACATTGACTTGGCATTTTTCACATCACTCTCTAGACCATTCCACAATCCAACTCCTTGGATTGAGGTAGACCTTCCCTTCAGACTAGTTCTGAATTTTGGTTTGACAAATATCTCTATCCCTTTAAGATTGTAACAACTTTGTCTTTTAACAAAATTTCTTTGGATATTTAATGGTAATGTGTTATTTTGAGCCCTATACATAACTGATAAAATACTATAATCTACCAAATCATGGAACTTCAATAACTTCAGTTGATGAAATAATGTGCTTGATGGGTGACAGTAATGCTTTCTGGTGATAATTCTTACAGCTCTTTTCTGTAAAATAAAAATAGGTTTTGTAAATGTTTTACACGCTTTCCCCCAAACATCAATGCGATAGATTAAATGTGGAACAATGATTGTGTTATACAACATGTACAGAGCTTTATCATTTAATAATTCCCTGACTTTGTATAGTACTGCAATAGATTTAGATATTTTTGTTCTTACAGAATTTATGTGATTTTTACATGTTAGCTGTTCATCAATGATTACACCCAAAAATTTCATCTCATTAACTCTACAAATCTCAACACCCTCAATTCTAAATGGATCATCAACAGTTCTCTTTTTGTTACTAAATATCATGTATTTAGTTTTTATCTAAATTTAATGATAATTTATTAAATTTAAACCAAGTTTGTATTTTATCAAATTCTGTCTTCATCAATTCCAACATCCGTTTTAAATCTTTACTCAAACAAAAACATGTGGTGTCATCTGCAAAAAGGACTCATTTGAGGAGTCCTGATACATTTACTAAGTCATTCACATATAAAATAAATAACTTTGGTCCAAGTACAGAGCCTTGAGGAACTCCACATGTGATATTGCAGAGGTCAGATCTTACACCATTTATTTGTACAAACTGTTTCCTATTTTTCAAATAGCTAGATGCCCAGTGTAATGCTGGTCCTCTTATACCATATTTATTCAATTTTTTCAAGGAGAATAGTGTGGTCAATAGTATCAAATGCTTTTTTTAAATCAACAAAAATACTAACACAATATTGTTTTTGATCGACAGCAGTAGTTATTTGTTCTATTAATTCCATGAGAGCCATTGATGTATAGTTTTTTGCTCTAAACCCATACTGACTGCTACTTAGAATGTTTTGTTTAGTAATAAATGTATCTAATCTGGTCACAAATATTCATGTGTTTTGTGTTTGAAACTGTTTAAAATAAGATGCATCTATTCCCTTGGGAACAAACAGACTTTGTTTTACAGGTGTTCAACTCAGCTCACTAACTTCTTGGTTGACACTAATGTAAATGTAATTAAAAAAAAAACTGTCACTGTGTTAACTTCACTGCCAATATGAACTCCATCCATCCATCCATCCATTATCTTTACCCGTTTTTTCCATTTTGGGTCACGGGGGTCGCTGGTGCCCATGTCCAGCAATCACTGTGCGAGGGGCGGGGTACACCCTGGACGGGTCGCAAGTCCATCACAGGGCCACATAGAGACAAACGAGACAAACAACCATTCACTCTCTAACCTAGGGACAATTTAGAGTTACCAATCAGCCTAACATGCATGTTTTTGGTCTGTGGGAGGAAACCGGAGCACCCGGAGAAAACCCACGCATGCACGGAGAGAACATGCAAACTCCACCCAGAGAGGCCCCTGGACCGGGGTTTGAACCAAGGACCTGCTCGCTGAGAGGCAGCAGCTCTACCAGTTGCGCCACCGTGCTGCCCCAATATGAACTCATTTCCCATAAAACGGACAGATCGTTTTAATGAGTTTTGGTTCAACTGACCTGGAAGTTTGAAACATCTGCTGAGACTTTACCTTTATCAAAAAGGAGTATTACTCCCAGGATGGGTTCCCATGAAGATAACACCATGAGAACTCCTTTGTTTAATGACATTTACTTTTCAAGGGATGGACAGCAACACCTTTTGGAGAAACATTGCCTGCTATTAACCCCAAAATGTCATTTTCTGTTTTATTTTCATACCTGAATGTTTATCCATGAAAATGTGTGTTTTAAGTAATCTCTCTTTAAGATAATCATTTGGCTTATTTG